TGTTTAAGGTTCAAGCAAGTAATTTTGCTGTTCGGAGAGAAAATAAATTAGAATTTGTGTTTTAAAAGAATCTTTGATTTGAAAGTTAATTTTTGGATGGCTTAATATCCTAAATATGAAAGTGTGGGCATTCGTGCTATCAGCAATGTCAACCTCCATCTATGAAAAGGTACCAGAACGTAGAAATGAATTAACATTTATTATATACTAGTGAATTGGAATTGAATAATTGTAGTGGTAGACAAGCTATAAAAATGTCTGAAACACGTAATTTGGTTGTGCTTTTGTTCCCCAAAAATTAACTCACTAATGGAGCTGAGATTTTTTTATGGTTTTTCAGAAAATAATACAATTTATGTTGTCTATTTCCAAGTAATTATCAAGTTGTAAATTATTAAAAAAATTTAATTTTTACCTTAAGTAACCTGTTAAGCTCTGTTCATTTCACAAACCATGTGGTGTGTTGGCGTTAAAAAGTTGCTTTAGTTTAAAACTTTTTCAACTTAAACAGAAATTTCATTCTTTGCATTTTAAAAATCTAAAAATTAGAAATGAAATTTAATAACTGAAACAAAAAAAAATCTATTTTTTAAGTATTAAATTACAAACATTTGCTTAATAACTTTGCATTTTACAAATATTTTTAAAATAGTATTTTGATAGCTGAATTAGAACTGTGACAGGAAATAGCCTGAAATTTATATTTTATTATTGTAAGTTCTTAAATATTTAAAAGCAATTCATTATGCTATTCCTTACTAAAAATGCTAAATGAATATGAAATTCAACCTGATTTAATGAGTGAATTCCTCCTTTACAAGAACTAAGCGAATGCTTGTAAATATGCTTGCTTAAAAAAAGGAACATTTAACTTTTTCCGTATAATAATTTTTAAGCATGTATAGTGCTTTACTATACATAAAAGTATCCGATTTCACTTACATTTTTTTAAACCTTTTCATGAAACAAATGCATTGATCAATTTTCAATACTCATACATTTGAAATTTTTCTATGAAATTTATTTACAAATGACGTGTGTGTCAAGTACCTATTTAAAATCTCATAAAACATTATTTAACACTTATTATGTTTTTGTTAAGAAAGGACTAATCAGCTAACACATTTTTGTACATAGCACCAGGAAATATGTATTACTAATCTTAGAGTCTATTTCAATATGCACACAAAGAAAATTTAAAACTCTTCAATAATTGGCAGTGATAGTTTATTAGTTTACAGCGATATATAAATTATAATAAACAGTAAAAAAAAGGACTTTTTAATCTCGCAAAGCATGTGAAAAGTAACAAAATAAAAAAATTTCGAATTATTCCATTCTTAATAAAAGTTATGAAACATAATTAGGCTTATAGGTATCAGGAAATTACTTCTATATCAAAATAGAATATTTGTACTTTTTATTCTAAAATGAAAACCTATGAATTCTGGTAATATTTTTCGTATTTAAAAAATATGTATTGCAAAATGTTAAAAGAAAAATAATAATAATATTCATTAAAAAAAACTATTACTGATTACTGATAATCTACTAAAGATAGCATATAATGTATAATGAAATATTTTTAGAACCTTTTATTTTCAATTTGGTACTTAAACGTAAAAACTTAAAAAATATGGAATGAGAAGATGAAAGGATAATTCATATGGATTAAACTTAATAATCAAAGCATTTAACATTTTTAAAATTGAAAATTAAAATAAACTACTTTCTGGCTGAACTAAAGAATAGAAAATAATCGAAAATAATAGAAAAATAATAGAAAATAGTTTTAAATTATAGTTCAAAAAATTTAACGTATGTTCATTTTTTTTAAATAAAATATTATTCTACAGCCATCATTTCCATTTCACATTATAATATGCAGTTTTTTACTCAATATTGAGTCGAATAATAATAGACGCACTATATTTTGTATAATCTTAAAATTAATTTGAAACATCTACAGTACATAATTCTTTTCTTCACATTTATATAAAAATTCTATCTACGTTGTTGAGCAAAACGACAAAACCCTGTGTTTGTGATTTGCTCAATTTGGCACGTAACATTCACCCTTCACAATTAAGAGCGTTCTATCTAATCTACTTTTTTCTACAGTGCATGTGCTTTTTTCTAACTCAAGTGCATTTTCTATGTTAATCTATGAAGTGCAATGCTTTATACATTTTTAAAAAAATAAACTTTGGAACACATTTTGGTACTAAAATTTCAAATGTATGAGTATAGAAAATTTAGAACGATACTTTAAATATTTGATTTTGTATTAAATTGAATTTAGTTTTCATTTGTTTCCCAAATGTCTAGTTAATTGAAAGTTAAAGATTCGTGCTTATTTGATATATTTACTTTGTTCGTGTTTCTTAGATTTTTGGTTGCAATTTTTTTGTAAATAAAAGCACTCTTACTTAAATGATTTTTCCGATAGTGCTGATACCAAGTAGATGGAAGTCAACAAATACATTGTTCACTATTCCCCAATTTTTGAACAAAAACAGGAGGGTAATTTTTTACTGCTAATGGCAATACAGCTTTGTTTCTTTGGGTTAAGATTAGACTTCTAATCTTCTATACATAATGCATATGTTAATCATGCTGCTGACTTGCACACCACCTAATTCAGTTTATTTTAATTAATTTAGAATATTTTAAAGCCATAATTTATTACAGTATCAATATATCTATTTTGTTCCTTCTACTGTATGATTGCTTTGTTAAATGCCTTGTCAGATTTCAAAGAAGTATTGAAAAGGGAAAAACATCGGAAATTTATATATTACAGGCAGCAATTTGTGCCATTTGATTTTCCACTTTTTTTGGTTCATCACTCTCTTTGCAAGGCAAAAAAGTTTCTACAAACCGAAAGAAGAAAAAAAAACATTTTTAAATTATTTAACATTTCTGATAACCCCCTTTTTAAGATTGTTAAAAAGAAAATTGACCTTATTAGACATTTATTTATGTCAATTCCCCAACCAAAAATATCATTTTCTGTGAAGTTGTTATTATATGTCACAGTCTCTATTAGCTTTTGCCAATTTGAATAATTATTTAAAAGAAAAAAAATTTCTTTATAGTATATTATTGTTTTAAAATAAACTTCTTAACGAAAAACAATCATTTTAAAAACAAATGTTAGTTGAAATGGGGAAATTTAATTTTATTTTTGGCCGAAAAAAAGTTTTACAAATTATTAATTGTAAGAATTTAAATAAACAATTAGGTTACGTTTTTCAGCTGCTAGTTAAAAGCAGTTATAAATATGAAAAACCTGTCTTGTATTTATTCAATGAAAAGTTAGTTAACATAAACTAATCATTTAAAAGCTACGTAGTTACCACACGCTTCTCAAAAATAAAATTTATTCAAATTCAATAATTTTTTTCTCTAATTTTCTAATTATTTAATAATTTTCCAAACAATGAAAGTAAAAAAAGATATAGTAATTACATTCCAAACATCATGCAATTATCTTTAAAGGTTTAAAAAATGTTTGAAAAATTATTGTTATTTTCTTAATCATATTTAAATTATGATTATTATAAGACGACAACCTTATTGTTTGAAAATTTAAAAAACACCCACAAAAGTAATTATTGACAAAGTAGCTTTTGAAGTTTGAGTATTGCTTATCGTTCAGTATAGAGTAAAATGAAACAATCTTACTTTGCGTTCTGAGATAAGAACATAACTTTCTTTACATATTTAATTGCATCATCTTTTCAGAAAATGTTCAAGATTTTATAAATTGTCCTGAATCTCTTTAAATAATTAAAATACAAATAATTTCGAATCAAACTATTGCAAATTTCATTTAAAGATGGAACTAAAAAAACATATTTGTAGCAAATATGTGTTCAGTTATATTTCTGTTATCAACATTATTTAATGCTACAATTTATAACAAATATATTCAAGCATTTTGTGGCACAAGTAATACCTAAATTAACTCGTTTCAATATTAATCTAATGCTTTTCGTAAACATGAACATCAAATTAACAATTTGTAACAAATCAAAAAACTAAAATCTTTGAAGTGTTCAATTAATAAGTAATGGCACAGAAATGAATTCTAGATTTTGTACAGTTGTTCAACAGAGTGTACATTTCTTATGCTCGTAAATATATTTTATTTACAAATAGACACCAACTTCAGTTTTATTATAACAGTAAAGTTATCAAACAGATATAAGTCTCCATTGGCTATTTAATTAAACTTTATAAAATTGACATGTTTCAATTTATGTAAGGTTATTAAATGTAGCATTCTAAATTTGTTTATAATGATGCGAATTCCGGAGAGTCTTTATTTTAAGCGATGGTTGAATTTTGAAATTCTTATATGAAAACAACACAAATAAATTCAAACCAAACCAAAGTTTTCAAAATAAACCTAATTTACTATGAAATTAAGGTATTCTAAAAAAAATTTATGGAATTATACTAATTCTGAAGCATTTCGATTTCAACACTAGATTGCCCAAGGAATTCATTTTGACTGTGGATTTTAACTACTCTCTCATTTGCAAAAAATTTACAAATAATAATGCATAATTTTTTTTTCTCCAAGTGAAATAATTCTTTTTATTGTTAATATTTACTAATAACTTCTTATATAACTGTAAATACTATTAAAGACATAAAAAATTAATTAAACAAATTTCTTTACACATTAGTTATTCTTTCACAATGCAGTCAGTTTGACTGTTTTGGGGCAATATAGGTATATACAAAGTTTCAGTTTTTCTAGTGTTAAAAAATGATTGAATTTTTAAATATAATAGAAAGAAATCATAAAATTTCCTTTTATGGTTTATACAAATAGTATATATTCTTAAGAATGATGCGAATTCCGAAGCGTTTCGATTTCAAAAAAATGATTAAATTTTGAAATATTAGAAAAAAAAGCATAGTAAGTTTATCAAAATAAACTATCTTTAGTATAAAATTGACGTTTTCTTTTTCCTTGTAAAGTTGAGAATCATGCGAATTCTTAAGTATTTCAATTTTAAGCAATGACTAAGTTTTAATAAATTTTGTATTTGTCACAACTTTGAAAATTTAGCTTTAGCGAGGCATGATAAATAATGAAAAAAACAAGATAATATGAAATTCTAATATCAAAGACGTGAAATAAAAATTTATTGTTTAGAAAAGAACGAGACAGGCTTTTGGGTTTGAAGGATGAAATTTATTTTATATGTATTTTCATGGTGGCCTAATAAATTAATATTTTTTTATTATATTTTCCATTTTTCTATTGCATTAAAACGTCTTTTTAAATAAATCACTAGTGATTCAACGAATACAGACTCGGCTTGCCCTGCGGGTCACTGACAAGTGATCTCACTAAACCTAATTCTCAAAAGTCCTGACAATATTCTATTTTATGAATAACTTTTATACCATTCATTCTAGTATACATCATTCCAAATTTGTTTAGAAAGATACGAATTCTTAATCTTTTCGAATTTAGACAGTGATTAAGTTTTAAATCATATTAGAAGAGCAATCAAAATAAATTCTGAATGCTATAAAAGTTTTCCAATAATATTAATCCCAAAGACTGATCTTGCAGAGTTATAAAAAGTCTCATAGACTCAAAGAAAATCAATAAAAGTTCGAAATAGCTCCTTAATTATGTCTTTTATAACTATAAAAGAAAAAATTTTCCCCTATCTTTATATCTTGAATAAGTTTGAAAGAGGTGACGTTGGAGGCTTTAATAAAATTGTTTGAAAAGCGTTCTGAAGTGCAAAATATTGAAAACCTATAGATATTAGTGTTACAAATAAGTTAGAAAAGTTTCGAAGAGTGTTATTGTGAATTTTCTTCTTACAATTTGAATTATTTGCTAAAAAGAAACTTTAAGAATTGGAAAATTGATTTTAGATTGAGAAAAACTATAGCTTCAAAAAAAGAAGGATATTAATTGGATGTTATAAAAATTTGAGATATTGGAACAAAAAACAGATATATTTCTGTTTAAGAAAAATCATCTATTTGTGTTCAATGTACAATTATTTAATATTAACAAATTATATAGAAATGGGTTTGAATCAATGTACCTGATATTTTATTTTTAAAAGTATCTAGTTATGTTAAAAATTACATCCTGAAAAAATAGTACATTTAGTATAAATTTAAATATCAAGTATTGTAAAACTACTAAGAATTGCTTTAAAAAATTTTAATTGTCTCAAAACGTTAACATCCAAATGGCGACACTAAAAACAACTGTACCACTGCGAATGAATTTAGTAAAAGCTTCGAAACAGTTGCAAACATTAAATTTTAAGTAGCAGTTTATGAACCTAGTTCAAAGTAACAGATATTATCTCCTTCTAACTCAATTCAACTCATTTATAAATCGTAATATTTTAAAAATTTTCCAAAACTTGAATACAATCTTCTGATTTTTATGTTTATTACTTTGATTCTATATAAATTATTTTATTCCATTTAGAAATAAGGAGACATATACAACGAAATACAAACTATGGGCGTATTCCGTGAGACAGTGCAAGTGGAGCCAACTCCGTATTTGCCTCAACTTTTAAAGTATAAAAAATTTTCTGTCTGCCTATCTTCCAAGCAATTCAGTTCACCTGAAGTGAATAATCCCAAGAAACTGTATATTTGATAATTCAAAAACTTTATTAAACTCAAAAATTATAAAGGTGGAAAAAATCGAGATTTGTGAGCTCTCGTTAACAGGTTACCCCTTTTCAAAATCTAGAGTAAAAAAAATAATACATAAAATAAATAAAATTTAAAGTTACCAACAAATTAATGGTTTGTATGAAGGAAATTAACTACAAAGCAAGAAAATCCGTTACAGGCGAGGTAAACGAAGGTGATTGTGAGTGGAAAATCAGAAAATGATGCTTTTTAAAGTTATATGAAAGGGCGCTAATGAACTCTGGTCGTTTAATAAGGAATCTTCAATCATATGAATGAAAACCGTGGTGGTTTAGAGGATAGATCTCGCTCGCCTCCCAGTGAGGTGACCGGGTTCGAATCCCAGCGATGGCTGAACGATTTAAATCCGCACCCAGGTCGCACCGACCATAGTGCTGATGTAAAATATACTCTGGTAGATGGATCATGGGTTAGTCTCCTTACCATCAGTCATTATAAGAAACCGTAGTAGGTTTTCGCGGTGCTCCTCTCCATGTAACGCAAATGTGTGTTAGTTACATCAAAAAAATCCTCTACAATGGCAAATTTCTCCAATACCTGATCCAGTTCCAGAGCTGTTCAACGACGGTTATTAAATCATATGAATGAAACAAGATTCCAAAGTATCAAAAAGAGCTGGTGTTAAAGGCGTTATAAGAATTTCGGCTTCATCAAAAATAAATCCATGCCAATTGTTCCAACAACATGTGCAGATGATCTATTGAAATGCTGTAGATTGTTATATCCATATTTTTTAATTTAATTTACACTTTTATGCCTGGTTTGCTCAGTTTTCGGGCTAACCAGGCGACATCTGAACTTTATTTAATTTTCCATTTATTCGCTATCAACGTTGTTTCCTTTTTCAAATTTGTTTTGTTTTCCTCGTTCACGTCTTTTAAATCTAGAGAATGAGTGCCTTGTTTCCGAGTGCTCGAATCAAATTTACTTTCACCCCCTTCATAATTTCTTCAGTTAATGCTTTTCCATTTTCTCGTTAATTTAGTTTATAGCTTTCGTGAGATAACTAATTTCGCTTTCTGATAAAAAAAATTTCAATAAAATTTCAAATGATTTTATCAGAAAAGCAATAAATAACATAAGATTAAAAGTTTAACAAACAATAATATTCAATTCATGGATTCGTGACCCATTTTGCCCAAATTAATCCAGGTTCTCAGTTTCTAAATATATATATTATTACGAATATTCATTTCAGTAAAAATGTTATACTAAAAAATGCAGTCAACAAAGTTCTAGAAATATTTTGCATTGCAAAATAAGATTTGTCTATTCACATTTTACGTAACGCAGCATTGTTTGTTTTTAAGAAAAAGTGGAGTGAATGTCTCCGCTCTCCTTTCTAAAAATAAAACAGATTGAACTTTTTTAACTAAGTACGGCAACTATAATAACCACGTTAACGATATTCAGGAACCCACTCATTTAGTATCTTAAATAAACTAAATAACCATAAACGTCATTTAAGCTCACGGAAAGCGCATCATACATTAAACTCATTAGACTGCCTACAATTTTTGTCTTTGATTTTGAACGTGCTGTGAAGTTGTTGTATTTATAAACAACGTGTATTTTTTTTCTTCTAAAAATCTAGAGACCTAAATGTCCAGTGTATAGTGGACATGGCTTAGCTGCCAAGTAAGGGCCGACTGGTGGAGGGGTTGGTACAATACAAGAATCGCGAAATAAATTATTTAGCACATAATATCCACACAAACATTGATCATGCAACATGAAATCCTTCTATAGGAATCCTATCGTCATAAAGAGATGGTGCTTGTAGAATTATACCACAAGTCCCAACAATCGATGCTATAGTAAAGATCCATAGAAATAATCGATCTAGCACCATTGCTACGTATTTCCAATCTTCGATTACCTGGAATTGAAGATTTAGAATGTTAATCAGTTTGGAAATAGAGTTTTTTATTTTTTATAGTATCGAATTTAGATCAAATTGTAACAAATAGGATCAAAATGTAACATAAAGCACACACATTTGTTAAATATCAAATTTTATTGTACGTAAAGCAAGAAAAGTTTAAACTCAGCAACCTATGATATTGTACAATGTCATACAATGTTTTTGATTGTCAATTTGTTATGAAAAAGGGAAGAAGGAAAAAGTTTTTTAAATTCTATTCTTAAGTTTATTTTGTACAACTCTGTGTACCGGCCTGTGTAGGGGGCAGGAAATTGTCCTTCCATCAGAAAGGTTCTGTCTTCGAATTCCGGGCAAGGCAAGGATGTTCTTTCTTTCACTGTACCATCTATCCTCACTGTGAGAGCGACGTTGGCCCACCTAATATGCTGCCCCTGAAAGAGAGGACAACAAAATCGCCCTGTGTATGCCTGAATTGACGGATGTTAACACAGATGGGCATTGAAGAAAAAAGTATTTTTACTTGCTCTGTTACACATCCTTAGATCTAGTAAGCTATTCAACTTTTGTTGGCATAGTTCAACCGATACCGGCTCTTGTTTCCTTAATCCTACTTCCTTATTAATCTCTCATTTTTTTTAAATTATCCATCGATATATTTATGGCTCCATTTGGTATTGCAGTTAAACTCTACTGTCATAATCATAATCATCACAATCAATCATAATTTTGAATACACATTATAAAAGGAGTTTGAAACAGCATTAGTTCAAAGTCAGAACTATTCTTCAAAATATTTTCAGAGGAAAACTTTTGTGAATATCTAATGAAATGTAAGTTTTGCATTTAATTCCACTCCTCTAGAGTTTGACTTCTTAAAATTTCCCCATGTAAGTTCAGCAGAGACTTTCTGATTTTGCTTTTATGCCACTAAACTTCGCATTTAATCTAATCTAATCGTAAGAGTTTGGAAAATTTTATAAATTTATTAATACATTTTTTTCATAGAAACGAAATAACTTTTTGTAAAAAAGGAACAAGAAAGCTATATTATTGAATTTATTCTTGATACAAGCAAAGATATTAACTATTAAATTCCTGTAGAAATATGAAATATGTATATTAGTAGTAATATAGAGTGGTTGGGGTTCATCTATTTCTTAAGAGAGTACAGAGTACTTAAATCGAATGTGTGAAATATAAATCATTGTATAATTTGACGAAGATAAATACCTCGTTATTTTTATTATTAATTATAATAAATATTAATTAATCAAATTCAAGAAAAGAAAGAAAACAAAAATTTGTTCCTCATGTAAGCATAGATATTCACAATTAATTCCTTGCATTCACAAGCATATTGGCATTAATCAAATTTTTTAAGTAATGCACAGTACAGGTCACCTAAGAAAAATTGTAAAACATAAATAAATTTATAATTTGACATTAATAAGTATTTCGAAATTTTATTAAGCTCGATAAATGGTATTCTTTAAAATCGTTTTCTTATAACACATAATATTGGGCAAAATTACTGTTCTCAAATAGCGACAGGTCAACTAAATCTTACAAATCCTTATTAAAAATTGTCAGTCAGTCACTATTTAAATATCACTTTCTTCGTCTAAAATGCTTCTCAGATGAGTTATTATTATTATTTCTAAATACGAAATTATTATTAATATTTCATAGTATTTTAAAAATTGCGCTTAATTACAAGCTTGCTATTATACTGTATTTTCAGAAATACTTCAAAAGAAATGCATTATCTTATTAAAACCATCAATTGCCTTGTTTGTTAAGATATTTTGAAAAATTAGACATATGCTTTAAATGCACCACTGTTCAAAATGCTACTACTGGCCACTGCCTATTACAACAAAAGTTCCTTATTTTGCCCTATAACATGTAATGGAACCATTATAATAAGAAAAATCAATACTTACACTTTCTTCTTCGTCTTCTTTTCTGATGTGTTCAGCAATAAAGAGTATACTTTCAATAGCTTTTTGAGTCTCTGGTGCATATGGTTTATGACGAGAACCACCATTTCCCACCATCATGGGCTCAGGCTCTAAACCTATATCTTCCACACCATTAGGACGACCATAACTAACATGAAGATTATCAAGAGGTGGAACCATTGATTGACCATTCACCTCATCTCTGTGCCTCCTCAGTTCCACGCCATTGCAACCCCTGACTGAAAACTTGGCAGGATCCGCAAGCTCGTCGTCTGAGGCGTACATGGGTCTGCGCATCAGCAACAGTCTAGGCATTATGTGAATAAATACCCTCCTCACCCAAGGTGACATTTGGTGTGTAGACGATGACCTGAAATGAACATTGAGCACTCCCACCGTTACCGATATGGATAAAGTGACTAGAATCATAGTGAAAAGTAAATATTTCCCCAAAAGTGGGACAGCTAAAGAGGTCGGTGGAATTATTTCGGCGAGCAGCAAAAAGAAGACAGTGAGCGACACGAGAATGGATATGCAGAGGGTGACTTTTTCCCCGCTGTCGGATGGTAAGTAAAAGACCAGAACTGTGAGAAAAGATATTCCAACGCAGGGGATGATGAGGTTGACTGTATAGAAGAGCGTCTTCCGACGCATGGTAATGTTGAACGTAATATCTGGATATGGTTCAACACAACAGTCGTAGTATTCCTCATTGTATTTCGCTGGTACAAGAAGAATGTCCCACTCCACGCTCTTGTAGAATTCACTCATATCGATACCTAGAGGTACCAGAGTAGAGCCTTCTTCTTGTTTAACGTGTCGCAAGTCTACCTAAAAATAGAAATGAAAATTTTAGTGTGTCACATTTAAGCGGCTCAAATGAGGTTATGATTCTACATTGTGCTAGGTAAGAATAAAGCAAGGCAATAACTAAAAGTACAGAAATGGACAAACCATGGTTTTGGCTCTATAAACAAGAACCTATCTCATTGTTTAAACTCAAAATGAAAAAAAAAAATTTAAAATAACCAGACATGCGCGAGCAAAGTGGTTTAATCATTAAGCGCAGAGGAACAAGCTTGAATACGATAATAAAAGTAATCAGATAAAAAACGGGTGTAAGGGAATTTTAAGAGAGCACTAAGGTGCTCAGTTGTAGAATTTGAATTCAGGTTTCCAAACATTAGGAAGATATGAGTTATTCGAAAGAAAAAATTAATTTTAAAGATTTTCAAAATATGGAATGATTTCCAGAAATCAGATCGATTGATGAAGACAGTATTAAATGATTTTAGCATATCTTTCATGTTCTTTAAGGATAATAAATGATCTTCTATTGCACAGGTTTGTAACGTTACGTTTAAATTTAGCATTTCGTTCTTAGACGCTTAGGAAGGTTCTTATTTATCGTACCGAAACTATAGTATGTCCATTTCGGAACCTTTATTTGTGTTTATACATTTCAAGCTATGCAATTAATAACAAAATCCAGAGCACTTAATAAACCAATCTTAAATCATATATTCAGTAGGTACTAAGCTGTAGATATAGATCTACAATACAAAATTAGTGTTTGCAACGCATTTTCTTCATTGTTTACAAAAAAAAATCAGGAACTTTATTGTTTCAAATTCGAACAATTTATGTAAAATCTACAAAATACAGAATGAAACTTATTAAGTATTCCTGCGGATTAAGTATTCCTGCTGGATTTATCTATAGTAATTAAGCTGCAAAATAAGAAAGAATCAAAACACCTGTTTCTTTGATTACTCTGCGATTCATAAGAATCTGTTCCCGATACCATTTCTGCTGTTTCTGAAGTAAAATAACATCCTTATTCCGAATGAAATATGCTCCCCTATCACCCATCAGTTTCTGGTAACTCTCCACTCTATATTTATCTCACTTCGATAATTATATGACTATTAGTTTCATATTTTTGAAGAAATGATTTTTTTTCTTAAAAATTCAAAAACGTAATTTAACTTTTTTTTTAAAAAATTCAAAAATGTAGACAATTAAGACGGAGAGATATTTGGGGGTATTATTTCCTTGATTTTAAAGTTATTAAATAGATTAACTCTTACACTCGACAAAACACCTCCTAATAAAAAAAAAGTATCTACTCAAAATTTTGGCTTAAAACGAGTGAGTTGAAAGAAGTCAGGCAGCTCTCTGTTTGCTAATTATCAAAACTTTATTGTGAGAGCACTTGGACCTGTCCAAGGAGAAAAAAAAATTTTGTTTTTTGAAATTTCTTCTAGAGACTAGACGCGTAAAAGATTTTCACAATTTCATGAATAATTGTAGTATAATTTGAAATTAGTATCTTCTAATTCTGAAAGTATCTTGAAAAATTATTTCCTTTTAGTTTTCTTCTAGCACTTTTTTAAACTGTTTTTGAAGTGTTCCAAATTCTTCCACTTTTCTTAGCAAGCACCAACAAGAAAAATAAAACTATTTAGCGACAATTTTGGCTAAAGGCCTTTGACGGAAAGTGCCCCAAATGAATCCGAAGAAAATTTGAAAGATTCACCCCTCTTTGTGACCTGTCCTCTCGATTTAGATTGTCAATATGCTTTTTTGATTTATTTTTTTATGTTTATTATTATTTTTTTTATTTATGTGCATTGTAGGTCGCGATAGAAAGTTGATATGGAAAGAGAAAAAATGGTGTGGAAATCTGGAATATGTAAAAAATAAGTTAAAAATACTTAATATGTTAAAAATGTGACAGTGATAATTTTGTTGTTGATTTTTTTCCCAATTTGAGTAGTAAATCCTCCGAAAACTCTATGCTAAAACTGGTCCTGTCTTAGAACTTGTAATGTTTCAATTTATTCAATTGTTTTAAATAGCCACCCTCCGATGGAGATTTCCCAAAACTTTTGCAAGAAAGTCAGTATGGTTCAAAGTTTTCTATCTTCTCTTTTTCCAACTTTTCTTCCAAAATTGAGCTAAATATTGTTTTGTGAGATTGTTTTGGAGAGAAAAAAGAAGGCTGAAACCTGATATATTAGGAAAAAAATCCCCTTAAAATATCTGGTTAATTTTAAAGACTTTTTTACAGCTGAAGTATATGAATTGTCCAAAATATTGCACCATGCTACAACTGTTACTATATAAGAAGTTAGATACTCTTTAGCTTCTAATTAGATATTTTAAGGTTTAAATAATATCCTCCTCTCTTGGAAATAAAATTAAAAAATTATATCAGAAAGTATTATAAGTAGCCGATGCCTCGCCTTTAGTAAACGGTAGTGATAGGTATAAAGGGGGATATTTGCGTAAAAATAAACAGGAATGGTGACGGGACTTTCTTTTTTATGTCACGCAGTGTTAAATGTAAAATGTGGATACGATTAATGAAATATTTCTATGAAGTTTCTAAAAACCTACTCTCCTGATTTTACGAAGTTTGTTAGTTATACACACGAGAAAACTTTTTTTTAAAATTCAATCTGAGCCGACCGGCCTGTGTAGGCGTCAGGGACTGGCTTTGCATCAGAAAGGTTATGGGTTCGAATCCCGGGCAAATATTGGATGTTCTTTCATTCTCTGTACTATCTGTTCTTACTGTGAGAGCAACGTTGGCCCACCTAATATGGTGCCCCTAAAAGCGTGGCCAACAAATCTGCCCATCAGATGTTTATATGACGAAAGGTCGTTTTCCAGTTGGGCATTAGAAAAATGACTAAATAAATTCAATCTGAAAGTTATAGAAATTAGAAACATTTAGTGGTTTTCATTAACATGAGTATAGATAGAATAACATTTCTTAAGGTGTAATTGGCTTTCTCACAAAACAATACTTTTCTTATTCGCAGCAAGACAGTCTTTCTTCAAATCCAATATGCTACATTACGATGTTTCTGAATTCGTTAACAGTTTTAATTATTTATTTATTTTTTTCATAAACGAAATGAAAGCAAAGTTTTTTTTATCAGTAATTTAACTTAGGCTTTTGAAAAATCTAATAAATAAGAGTACTTTTCTTTCAGAAAATTACCCTATCTCTCAAAATAACTCTATATTTGATAACATGTAGATGTCTTACATTTTTTAGTAGCTCTATGTTACGTATTGGTTATGATTTGCAGGATAAGAATTCTTACTCTTACATTTTTGTGCTTTTATGACAATTGATATTTTAAACTATATATAAATTTCTTATTGTATTTTCGATTTTATTCACTTTTGCATTTATTACCAATGTGCCGAATGTATTTTATCGAATACATTTTTTGTCTAATTTTATTGACTTTTAAATGTATCTGCCTTGCCATTTACTGTTTTATAAACTTTATGCATATATTATAAAAATAAAATAGTTGCAGGAACTTTACCCTTTGATTTGTTTTAATGTATTATTTAGCGCTGTTTGTCTTGTGCCACTTAACTCTACATTCAACTCAACTCAACTTGACTATGAGTTATTTCAACAAGTAATACGTTTTATTTGCTCATTATTTTTAACAACTATTGATAATTACTAAGGCATGAAATGTCAAATGCTATCAAGTTTGTTATAGATCAGAAATTCTCTTCGCGTGGTAATTATTAAAAATACTTTTTGGTAAAATATTTAAAACACGACGGTCTATAACTTTAAAGGAAGAAAATTCTTTTGATGAAAGCGAATTTTCCATTAATACAAATTTCAAACTTTCAAAGTGCCTTGTGTTTTCATAGTATTATGGGTTCATTTGAACTATCTTTGATTAAATATTTATAATTCAAAACTTCCTTAAAACAAGTTCTTATTAACGTATTTCATAATGCCAATTACATTTGTCGCAGTATTGTCGATTTCGGGTCTTGTACAAATTTAATTCTACGGTCAACTCAAGTAGCGTTAAACAATAAAAAGCTTATATGGTTGCAGATAGTTGATTCACAAAATCAAATAAGAATTTAAAATTTTCAGAAAGTTTTAAGGAAAATGATTTAATACTATTGTCTAGCAGCACTCAGCAAATACACTTGTTCCAATAATTCCTTTAAAACTAATCCAATTAATGAGTCCTCATATACTAATAAAAATTAAATTAACTGTCCAAAATAGTTTTATGCTATGCAAGATTGTTTACACGCAGCTGTCAAGATATAAAGCTTTAGATTGGCTTCTCCTTCATTTCTTTTCAAATTTTTATGTAACTTTTTAAATAGAATTAAGTAAAATCTTATTATTGTCTTGTGATATTTTCCAAAAACGCTTTGTGCGTTATGCTATTCATATGTAAACAATTTCTGTGAAGAAAGTTTTATTTTAACAGAAATGAATAAGTCACAAAAATGCATCTTTATTGTCGAGTATTTAAATTACAATCAAAATCGCAACAATGTTGGTATTTGGCACAATTTAGACGTCTTTGAATCTTCTGTTATTATATTTTACAAAACGTATGAAATCAAATCTTACATAGAGGCATAAAAGAGTTTTATTTCTGAATAAGTTCATATTCATAAAATAAAATACTGTTCATATTCATAAAAATAAATAAAGAGACTCTTTCAAAAGGAATAATTGAAGAAAAATTGTTTTGGCAAAATAATCCTTCCATTAGCGAAAGAATTCAGCCAAAAGATTGCGTTGCTACATTCGCTTGTGATTAAATAAATTCATACCAGCGTTATCAGTCTTATAAAATGAGCTAATGCGACAAGTACACTTTGTCTCTCAGCTCAATTATCTAACACTTCTCTCTTTAATAATTCTAAGGACAAATATTCGTTTCGAAATCGAAATATTTTAGAGAAATTTCCTCTGTTAGCTTGGATACGAGACGATTTGTTTCAACGTAATTAACAATTTGGTTTTAATGTTA